CGTTAGCTTTGCAAAATTCTCGTGATTGCTTCGACTTGCCAATGACAACGAGATTCATCTTCTCGGTGCCGGTCATTTTGCAGCACATTGCGACTACAATACAATCTTATTTTGGCTTGTTTCCATTGCGCTTAATTGTTACCAGTGTCTTGTTGAGAGGTAGGCGATAACAAAAATGAGAGCTGATTCGTCAAAATTAAATAAAATTCCGAGGTACAAATTGGCTAACACCCTCATAAAGCTCTTTTTGATTCGCTCTCAAAAAGCAAGATCAACTTATTGTACCTCGTAGCGAATTACATGCTGCTGGATGCCGTGTCGAGTCTTAAATTTGTGCATCTATTCATTCGAAAGCCGCAGGTCGTTTTTGCTTAGCTTTTGACAGGTTTGAAAGGAGTCACCTTCTTCAAGTAATGTATCGAATGATTAAATCGCTTTGCCACCATTGAACTATTAGATGCGAGGAGGGCATCCTCAAACGCTTGAAACATTTCCTTTTTGTTTTAGTCCTGCCTGTGCTAAGAACTCGTTTTATGATGCCTAACGAGTCTGTTCAGCTATCGTTGAGAAGATCCTAAGGCCAATCTTCACAATGATCTAGTCTTTTACTTGATCCAGCTTGATGCATGGCGTGCTTTCAATGTACACTTGCTAAATTTGACGCTTTTGGTCCATCATGGTATTCGTTCGCTTAGTCTGCATGTTTGAGGTGTATATAAATAATGTGCATTGTAGCAGGCTATACAAGGCTGTGGCGAGTACAAAACGGGAAATTGTTGGTTGGTGCACGCTGTTTTAGTGCCCTATTTTTTAGTGTTCATGTATAGATTCAACATACAATAATCAAGTGACGCAGCTTTATGCGGGAAACGGAGGTCCTCAAACAGTAATTTATGCTCTGTTTGGGTTCTTATTAGGAGGGACGACAGTAGATGATGCCGCTCAAACGCCTATATAAAAAGGCCCTTAGTAATGCGAAACACTGTCAATTAATCTAAAGAGGAGACCGCATGGAATGTATGCGTCACACCCAAAAAGCCGCACGTGATTGGCTTAAAAAGGAAGCAAGGCGATCAAAGGACAAATTATCAGATTCTTGCGTCTCTGGAATCAGTAAATGCGAAGTTGTTTGCATTCAGAGTACATGAAAAATGAGAAGGTAAGCTTTAATAGTCACCCACCCTCTCGATGACAGAGAGAATTCTTTGATTAAATTTCCCTTGGCATGAATATAGTTTGTGTCGTCAGCCGCACTTTGTGGCTGACGGCCTGAGCGGGCAGGATACTATTCCGTCTCCTATTTGCTCATATTTTTTTCTTATAAACATTGACCTACATCAACGGGTAGCTTTTAAACACATAATTCATCATTTAATATAAGCAAAGTACATAACGAACAACGCATCCCATAGCCGCCAACCACCCAAAGTAAATACTTGAAAACACAGATCATGATTCATTTTTCCGTACTGATTGACTTACTTCTCGAACCGTCCTCAAGATTGTTTCCCTATCTTATAAAGACCAGAACATGAATTTGGTGATTTAAAAAAAAATCAGATCCTCATCACTCTTTTGACTCATACATATTACGTCCCACGATGCTCGATCTGTGGTCTCGAACTCAGAACCCGTAACTACATAACATCCAAAAAATGGAAGAGTATTTTGAGGGGAAAATCTATACGAGAATACTTCTGAGCAAAAAAACCACATTCCTGTATTGATATGCATATTTGAAGGGGTGTCAATATTCTGTACGTATAAAACTAGTAAATACAAACGTACGGGGTACTCTGGTTGACGGCAGCCATACCTGTAACGGGGTGAATCGTTACATAACAATTTATGAGAAATTGTTTATAGAATCTAACTATAAGAGTTATATTCCCAGAATATTGTCATAAGGACAAATGTTCTGTGGCACTTACGAGTAGTTCCTAATTGGTTGATAAAGGCCATTATATCAACCAACGAAGACGCGCCACGACAGACGCACGCAATGAGTGGTGAGCAGATAGTTGATTTACAAATTTGTATTTAGACATACTTAGATGAGGATAAACAGTGGTTTATTGCAGACATTAACTATTATAAATACAGTTCTACTTTTTACTTTAACCAAGTACTCGCTTCTTCTTACCGTCTTCATCTGCACGTACGAGTGTACGTGAAGTTCCGAGGCACCGCCTTATTCTGTCATCAGAATAAGTAGCTTGTACCATTACCTGTACAAGCTTCAGGGTGCCCCGTTACGCCTGGTAGCACTTCGTAGTCCGTCCAAGGACCACTTTCACATCTAACATGAATATGTTAGATGAAGAAGATGGCCAAAGTTTCACGCTACGCGTGACGGCTACTTTCATTTGAGCGATGTCGAATGGGATGCGGTTGAACGGATGGGTTCAACCATGGGCATCCAAGATGTTAGCGTCATGCTAGAGGCTCTCAATAGAGATGCCCAACATGCTACTATCCCCAAGTTCATTCAAATTGAACTTGATGCTGAACGCGAGAAAGTAGCCTTGCTTCACCAACAAGGTTCTCAACAAGAAGAGTTGTTGAGAGAACAGGGTGCTCAACAGTTTGAACTGTTGAGACAGCAGCAGGCTGCTGCTGGTGGGTCGATGCACTCGCGTCGACCCGAATCCTTGAAGATTGACATCCCCAAGTATAGGGGAGTCGAAGAGGACTCCCTCTTGAGATTGTTCGTCGAATTGGGTGACTCCATAAGGGCGCGTCGCATCGACGACGGGATATGCAAGTTGCATTTGACCAATCAAATCTGGCAGGACGTGCCAAGACTTGGGCTTTGGGACTCAAGTTGCACGACCCATATGCGTTTGGGTCGTTGGAAGTCTTTAAGTCGCGGCTCAGACAAACGTTTGAACCGCCTAGAGCTGAGTTCAGAGCTCGAATCGAACTCTTGAAGCTCAAGCAGGGTAAGCGTGATGTGCACGCTTACGCGCAACATATACGACATCTCACGAGTTGTATAAGTTCAAATCCGGTGGATGAACACACGTTGGTTTCGGTGTTCATGCAGGGTCTTGCGGATGGTCCCGTCAAGACTCACCTGTTCTGGCTTGAATTGGATTCACTAGAACAAGCCATTTCCATTGCGGAGCAGGAAGACTTCAGTCTGAGACAGGCTCGCGCCAGCTCGACATCATATCGTCAACCGAGACGATATGACAACGGAGGTCCAGAGCCGATGGAACTCTGTTATGTAGAGAGCGAGAAGGCTCGCTCTACAGGCTACAAGAGCTTGCAGAGATGCAACAGATGTCAAAAGACAGGACACTACGCTTACGAGTGTAGTGCCCCTCGTCCAGTGTCTCGCAACACTGGGTGTGGTGACCGTCCACCCATGAGAAGGGGGCAGGAACGAGGGACCGCTGTTGGTGCAAAGACGCAACAACGGGATGGACCGTCAAAAAACGGACAGGATCAGTAGGTGCGGAGCACCCTACTGGTCCAGCAACGTCAAGAGAATTTGTAGGCCTCTTGATGAAGGTTGCCCCCAACACACAAACCTTGTGCGTTGCTGCTCTAGGTAATGAGGTCTCACTCATTACCTTGAAACTCGAAGTGACGAATAAGTTGTCCCTTCGAGCTCTAGTCGATTGTGGGGCATCCAACAATGTTGTGCAACGCCAATCGCTAGAAGATAGTCACTTTGAGTTCAGTGAATGTGAAACACCTCCTACGAGGATGACGGTACGTCTTGCGACAGGAAAATCCGTAACAGTCATAAAGCGTATAGTGAAGATCCACTATACACTAGAAGATACCCAATATGACGATGACTTTATCGTATTGGATTTGGATGACAAATTTGATGTCATCCTTGGAATAACGTGGCTCAGAAGGTACGAATCACGGGTAAACTGGCAACATCGGACAGTAACGATGCCTGTCGCTTGTTCATCAGATGGCCATCTGATGAACGTTTTGGAGCGTCCACATACGTGTGGATGTACTACGAGTGAGTGCGATGGCCTCATTTGTGGTACGGTCGTTGGTACGACTGCACAAAAGCTTAGTGTAACAAACGGTTACACTTCGGAGCAAAGTTCCGGCGGCTGTGAGGAAACACAGGCTGCGCCGAAGGTCCACCACTCGAATAAGTCGAGTGGACCGGGACAAAGATGTATCCCTAGCGGGGAACATCTAGAAGAGAAACAATCGATCACTCAGGTTAAGCATAACGATAATCCTAGATCGACTGGAGAGTCTTTCGTAGAGGATCTCGCTGTGGTTGCGCAACCACAGCTAGAGGAAGTTAAGGGAATAAGTCCCGATATTACAAATACGGCGGAAATAAGTTCCCCGAAACCCGCGGGAATAAGTCCCCGGAAAGCCGAAGGAATAAGTCCTTCGAGGCCTGAGGGAATAAGTCCCCAGGAAATGACAGAGACATTGAATGTCATAGTCAATAACGGATCAAGTGTAGGCGCTTATACACTTGATCTGATTGCGCCTCCGAAGTTGACTTCGAAGATCACTCAGTTGCCAACGCTCGACCATAAAAGGTTCTTGCGTGATCTCCGTAGTGGCAAAGTCAAGCAGATCTGCGTACTCGTCGCTGACGACGAGTGTGTAACCGACATAAGGTCAGCAACAGTGTATACTGAGAACGAGAGATGTAATGGGCCACCCCGTTACATAAGTAGGCTCGATTAAGTTTACATGTTACTTAAGTAGGGGTGTTACTTTCGGAGTAGCGAAAGTAGCACGTCGTATATTTTTGCTGGTTTAATGGGCTCAGTACCATTATTAGCCAGTAAGATATAGGCACGTAGATTGAGTGGTTCCCAAGAGTCCAAGGGAACCATTCGTACTTAGAACAATTTAAAAGACAAAAATACAAACAGAGTTAAAAATACTTAATACCTAAGACTTGGGCTTCAAGCTTCCTCAAAGCGTTAGAAATAGTGTACGCTAAGTACGGGTCATTCTATCCCCGTTACACCTGGTAGCACTTGTTGGTCCTTCCCATGCCCGAGTTTGGGATGAGCGATTCGTCGTACTTTGACGCTCCAGACGTGAGTCTGGAGCACGCGACTTTTCCCCATCTCACTGGTGTTGAGTGGGATGCCCCAAATCGCCTCGCGGCGATATCTGGAGAGGCATTCGTTGTGTCGCTGATGAGATCAGCGACTCCTGATGGACAGCGTCTCGCCATACACGACTACATGGCTCGCGAGCTCGCCGAATCCCATCGGCGAGGTTTAACTCCCTCGCGGACTTCACGGAACGATGCCGTGAAGATGGAGACCTCCGCCTATTCTGGCGAAGGAAAAGAACGCTTGTCGTTGTCTCGTTGGTTTCGAGAGGTCGACATCGCTATCGCCTCAAGACTTCTCGAGGCTCCTCAAGCGAAGGTCAATTTCCTTCTTTCCCGTCTCACTGGGAAATCCAAGGAGTGGGCCTTGGGAAAACTCGTTGTTGACGAGTTTGCGTTCCCCACTCTGGAAGCCATCCAGAGTGACCTTCGACTCGCCTTCGAGCCGCCCAGGAAGAGAAGTTGGTGCGTTCAAGGTTCCTGTCCCTGCGACAGGGTAAGATGTCCATGCGCGACTACGTGCAGATGGCTCCTCATCTGGCGTCTTGCATTATCACGCATCCCATGGACATGTATACACAAGTGAACGTGTTTGTCGATGGCACGCGTGAAGGGCAGACTCGCCTCTCGCTGGAACGAGCAGAGCCTGCCACGTTGGAGGAGGCTTTCGCTATCGCTTTCCGTGAGGACTTCAGAGTCACCAAGGCCTATACCAAGCCTTCAGTTGTTACCGCTGTCAGATCAGCGGGCCCGGAACCTATGGAGATCGATGCAATTGAGTCGTCGGGTGACCGACGACGCTCTACAGCCTACAAGGGCGACGTTCGAGGCGGACGTCAGATGATCTGCTTTCGATGCCGAAAGCCGGGACATCGCGCGGCTGAATGCCGCGCGCCAGCACCGATGTCGGTGCGTGCGACGGACACCCATCATGAGGGAGGTGCTCCGATCAGTCGTCCAAAAAATGGACGAGACCAGTAGGTGCAGGGCGCCCTGCTGGTTTGAAGGGAGGTCCGGGTCCACCGGTGGCAGCCCGACCTCCCAGCCCATCTGTGATGCGTGCACGGTCAAATGCCACCACTACGAGTGGTGATTAAGACTGGTTATCGCTAATCTGCATGTCGCAAATATCTGGCGACCTCTACGAGCGCTCATGGATTCAGGAACGAAAAACAATTTATTCCGTGAATCTTGCGTGTCAGTGCTGTCACCCAGCATCCAGGTCCAAGAGGGACCTGGAAAAATTGTTGTCAAGCTCGCTGACAAAAAAACCACGCCGCGTATCGCGGCGCGAAGTGTCGTTGCCATACAAGTTTGACGGTTATCGCAGTAACGACAACTTCTTGGTGATTGAGATGAATTATGCATTCGATTGCATCCTGGGCATGCCATGGTTGGCACGCTCTAAGTTCCAGATCGAGTGGTTAGCCAGATCAGTGAGACGTTGAAGCAAGTTCAACGTCAGCGAAGTGTTCACCCATCTCTTGGTGTCTCCAACCGATTTACCGAACGTAACAGTCGTGGATCGTACGTCCACGACACTGGCGGTACACAGAGTGAGCGATGGCCCTCTCTGTACTAATTGTTCCGTGCCCCTACGCACGAGTGATGATGTCTCCTCGCTTTGCAGCGAGGAGTCCGACGAGGACGAGCAGTGGCTCCCGCGTAATGACGACGCGGACGAGCAGTGGCTCCCGCGCGACGACGACGCGGTCGAACAGCGGTTCCCGCACGAGAGAGCAGTGGTCGAACACGAACAAGTGTTCCCACCTGCACCCATTGTGGTCGAGCAGAGGCTCCCACAAGGGCAAGATGTAACGGGGTGAGAGCCCGTTACCGTCTTACACTAATAATTAAGCTGAGGAAGCGCTGTGATTTATAAGGTAAATTTAACTCTGTTTGTATTTTTGTGTTTTTATAATTCGCAGTAAGTGCGAATATGTTCCCTAGCTCATGGGAACCACTCAAATACAGAACTAATTATTATTGGCTAATTATTGGGTCTGGCACCCCAATAATAAACCAATAATAAATAGACGCGCAGTATCCGCTATCCGGATACTGCCTACACTTAATGTATGTAATTATGTAATAAAACTATGACTACTTAATATAATGGGTTGCCCCATTACATCACCCCCCTCTTCAAGTTACGCTTACCGTGACGTAAGCGCCATACACAGAAAGTTTCTTCTTAACGAATAGTCCAACGAAAAGCCCAACGAGAACTCCAACGACACGTCATCTTGGTCTTCGAATCTGCTCAGCCACAAACAACTGAGCAGCATGAATCCTGAACACCCACGCGACTCGACCCCAAACGACAGTTGGGGTCATCAGACACTTCGAAGAGAGCGTGCACCGCAGACCATGGATGACGACTTGAAGCCGTGGGGCTTGTACAGCCTTGAAGGCGCACACCAACCTGAATCACTTGAGACCATGAAGAATCTCTTCACACGATACCGTAACGTTCGAGGCAAGGGAACGAATCACACATACACTGAAGACGCACTGCAACGATCTTGGTGTGCCTTCATCAGACGTTGGAACGCGAGTCGACGTGAAGGGGCATCCTTCACGTCCTGGATCGAGGGACGCGAAAGTACTCATGGCGACCACGCTATTGGCGACTTACGACGACGCGTATGTCATTTGACTCGTGATGGGTTCCACATGTGTTACGTCCATGTCCGTGAAGGGTGTCCACGGTGTCACATGGAGAGACCGCGACCAATGCGGCAGGAATGGGACGACATGGTGTGTGCACGGGAAATGCCCCAGCACATCCGACCATGGATCGGACGCTATGAGAGGAGCCTCTCAGAGCTCCAAGTATCTGCGTTGCGTCACATGAGGGAACGCCCTGTCGATCAATGGAGGCGTTCACGTAGTCGAGATCGTTTGTCTTACGACCACCGAGGTCGTTCTCGTAGTCGCTCTCGACCGTCAAGGTATCCAAATGTTCCCGAGCCTCGTAGAAGACGTCGGAGTCGCTCGGGAGATCGTCGTCGATCGCCAATTCACGCACGTTACGGTTCGCGGGATCGTGGAAGGAGTCAGCAGCGTCGCGTTCGCCGACCTCTTACTGGTCTCGTACTCCTCAACGACGTCAGGAACATCGTGAGCCAGCATACTTCGAGGCTCCCACGTGTCTTCCGTTGGTGAATAACCCAACCATCGGACCTTGTAATGCGTTTCTGAACGACTCTTCGATGGCGCCGAGCCACTACTCGGCGCAAGAGGCGTGGGGTCTTCATGACCGACGATACGGTCCACAATCCAGCGTCGCTCACCCGATGCATCTACCAAGGGAGGAGGAGCATCACGACGGAAGGCTTCCTGGGTTGGGCGCCGATTCTCATAATCGGGCGCCTGTGCCGTCGAGTGACGAGCTTCGTTTCCTTCGTGCTGACACTGAAGAGGCGATGAACGGCCTTCTGGATGCCCGTGAGATGGCCGAGAGGGCTCGAGATCGTGCAGCAGCTGCGACAGAGGCTGCCGAGAGAACCCGACGGGAGCAGCAGGACTTGGTGGAGCGTCTGCGACAGCTCGAGACTGCTGCGTTCGGTGGACCCCAGCAGAACGAGTCTGCTCGCGCTCGTCTAGGACTTGGTCCCAATCGTCGTCAGCGTCGTCGGCAGGGGGTGTCGGACTTTGAGCCGATACAGACGAGTGAGGATGGACCAAAGGGAGATCCGCCGGCAGGTAAGCCTTAAGGCGCCCGACATAGAATGTCGGGTGCAAACGCATAGTGGTAGGTATGTCTAGCGTGTAAGCATCTCCATGGACTTCAACAATCCGAAAGGGCCCAATATATCTTGGCGCTAATTTATTAGCGCCCAAATTCGTTACTGACGTGTCTGGTAATCCGCTTGTCGATAGTAAGACTCTGTCACCTTCTTTGAACGTCAGCAAGTTCTTTCGACCTCGCTTGTCCGCGTTCTCCTTTTGTTTATCCACTGCTTCTTGGAGTGCATCGCGTACAAAACGCGTGATACTTTGCCGTAGTAATAGGAATTCGGTCACAGCAGCCGAACTTACAGGAGAAGTGGACTCTTTAGGAGCAAAATTAGCGACGGGAGACGCGATGGGATGCATCGCGTCGGGACTCGATATGCCATTGGCCACGAAATTAACAGTATGAGTTGCATCGGCAGCAACCTTGTCTTCAACATTACCAATCATCAAAATTTTTCGCGTAGTGTCATCGGGAGATACTCCCCCACCAAGCTGAGAAACTGGGTGTGCTGAAGCTGAAAGAGCAAGAAGCGCTGGAACGCGAGGGTGCCTCGCGTTATTCACGAAAAATGGCGTTAACCCAGTCGACGCATGAATTGCGTTGTTGATTGCAAATTCAGCGAGAGGGAGAAACGAACTCCACGACTGGAATGATGTCGCATAACTGCGTAGTACATCTTCAAGCACTCTGTTCACGCGCTCCGTTTGCCCATCCGTCTCTGGATGGGCTGCCGTAGACATAAGCAGTCGCGTGCCCAATAGTCGAAACAACGTTGCCCAAAAAGCTGATGTAAAGCGCGGGTCGCGGTCCGAAACAATTGTTCAGGCAAGCCGTGATGTCGAAATATGAGATCGATGAAGATCTGCGCGGTCGTCTCCGCCGTAACGTGCGCGGAGACTGGAGCAAAATGCACCATTTTGCTAAATCGATCCACAAAAACCAATACGCCCGTGCGTTTCTGTTCGTCCGGAGGGAGACCAAAGATGAAATCCATGCTGACAGAACGCCAGGCTTCCGTGGCAATCGGAAGCGGACGCAATGGAGCTTGTGAAGACGGCGCAGGCTTCACACGCTGGCTTATTTCACAAGAGCGTACCCATTTCTGGATGTATTTGTACATACGCGGCCAGAAAAACACACGAGAGATGGCCGCGAACGTCTTCTCGCGACCCAAATGACCACCAGTTGGAGTGTCATGAAATTCATGCACCAATCGTGCGCGGAGGTCGTCATCAGCAGGGATGACGACGCGCGGTGGGTCGAAAACGTCCATTGTATAAGTCAGCAGCGGACCATCAAGCGCGTACCGCTTGATGTTGTCACGCGTTGGTTTCGTCAACTTCGCGAGTGAACCCTCACTAGGGTGTCGAAGGTAATTGATGATTCCCGTGTAGAATGAATCGTTCGCATATGACTCAGCGATTTGAGTCCGGATTGACAGCTCAGGTGTCAAAATCATTGCATTGAGCCCCTGCTCAGCACAGCATAAACAAATGTCGTCGTCCTCGTCTTCAGCAATGCCTGGCTGATGACCCATGTCACGTCGAGGATCATAATCGGGACGTCGAGAAAGCGCGTCAGCAAGAATGTTGTTCTTGCCGGGTTTGTAAAAGACCACGAAATTATACTCTGAGAAGTATGACAACCAACGTGCCATACGCTGGGACAAGTGGGGAGTCTTGACGGCGGTACGCAATGATGCGTGATCTGTATAGACCGAAAACATCTTCTCGCCGAGCAAATATACTCTGAACTTGATCAGCGCGTAACGCATAGCCAAAAGTTCCTTGTCATGTACCGGATAGTTCCGCTCTGCGGGTTTCATCTGTCGTGACTGAAAGCTCACGACGCGCTCTCGGCCCTCATCGTCAAACTGCATGAGGGCACATCCAATAGCGAAATTACTCGCATCACAGACGACGTGAAATGGCTTGGAATCATCAGGCAACATCAGCACTGGTGCTTCAGACAAGCTCTTTTTCACAGAGTTGAAGGCAGAGTGATGTTCAGCTTTCCATGACCAAACTGCGTCTTTCTTCAGTAGAGTCGATAGTGGCTGGATTAGTTCTGCATAGTTCTTCGTATACTTATGCAAGTAATTGGCCAAGCCAAGCCATTGGCGTAGTTCCGTTTGGTTCCTGGGCGTAGGCCATGAACATATCGATGACACTTTCTCGGGTTCAGCATGGACACCTTCCTTGCTAACATAGCATCCAAGAACTGGAATCTCGGGAGCACAGAAGACACACTTCTTCAAATTTGCGTACAGTTTGTTCTCGCGCATCACTTGGAACACCTGTTTCAAATGCCGAAGGTGGACCTCCGTAGCGCTGAGTTGTTGCTCAGCGCGGCTGTGAACAAAAAATATCGTCGAAATAACTTGGAGCGAAATCACGTAGTGGCCGAAGCACTTGTGTCACCATCCGGTTGAACGTTGCTGCAGCGTTTTAAGGCCTTGTGGCATGACTAGCCACTCCCAAAGCATCCCACTCGGTGTGCTGACAGCGGTGAACGGGATATCACTGTCCCTCATTAAAATCTGGTAAAACCCGTCTGTCAGGTCTATGGCGCTAAAAATCTCGCTGCCGGACATGGTATCCAGTACCATGTCTTTCCGAGGAATTGGTGTTTGAGCCGGGATCGTGGCGTCATTCAACTTGTTAAAAGCATGCACGATGCGCCAACCGCCGGTGGCTTTCTTCACACAGAAAGCCGGACTCGAATGTGGCGATATGCTTTCGCGGACGTGTCCTGCCTTACGGCGGCCCTCAAAAAATTCATCAATTGCGATGACTTGGTCACGCGGTAGCGGCCACTGCCGCGTCACGCAATACTTCGATCCTGGCACGAGATCGATCTCGTGTCGCACACCACGATCCGCTGGAAGCTCAGCGGGGATATTCTCCGGAAAGATGTCGGCATACTCACGCGCGATATCATAGACAGGGTTGCCCGAAGCACGAAGGGCTTCCCAAGACTGTGCCACGAAACGTTCTTCGCGCGCTGATTTGGGCTCAGCGCTCTTTGGGCGAGCCTCCAGAACTTCTCCACTAGCTGCTTCGGCGGCTGATATGATGCACACTTGCTCGATGTCGCCGGCCTTGAGGTCGTAAAGAAAATCTTTCCATGGTAGGGTTAATAGAGATGTGATCTCTGCAACAGTGCACGGAGGGCTCGCTACCTCAACGTAGCGGCCACGATGTGAAGACCCTTCCACATATTCAAGCGCACAAACGGATTCCGTCAATACAGTATCGTCGTCAACGGCGCTTGAGCGAGAATTTCGTCGTCTTGGTGATCGGCGTGCACCTTTCTTGCGTTTACGCTTTCTCTTGCGTCTTGAGCCACTGCTCGAGGCTGGAACGTCGCTGTCGCTGGAGGATGAAGTACCCCCCGCTAGACGTGGGAGCTCTGTCTATACCACGTCGTTCACATTTAAGTCCACAGCCCGTTCATTCTCGTCGATAAGAGGCGGGAGCTCGTCGTCGACCGCCTCAGATGTATGTGGGAGCCTCTGCTCGACCACCTCGGTTACAATCGGGAGCCTCTGCTCGGCCGTTGTGTGTGTATGCGGGAGCCCCTGCTCGACCGCCTCGCTAGAACTCGGGAACCCCTGCTCGACCGAAGTCCGTGTGTGCGGGAACCCCTGTTCGACCGCCTCGTTGTGAATCGGGAGCCCCTGCTCGACCGATGTCCGTGTGTGCGGGAACCCCTGTTCGACCGCCTCGTTGTGAATCGGGAGCTTCTGCTCGACCGATGTCTGTGTTTGCGGGAACCTCTGTTCGACCGTCTCGTTGTGAATCGGGAGCCCCTGCTCGACCGATGTCTGGGTTTGCGGGAACCTCTGTTCGACCGCCTCGTGTTGTGGTTCTATCAGTGTGACTGAACATACCGGACACAGAGGGCCATCGCTCTCTCTGTGCTGACTTCTAGTCGTGGCGAGTTCGTTCACGACCCTGACGTGAGGCCAATCGGATGGCGCTACCAACAGATGAGTGAAAACTTCACTTACGTCGTAACCGCTTCGTCGTTTGACGGACCGAGATAGCCAGTCTATCGTCGGCTGATATCGTGACAGCCACGGTATCCCCAAGATGCAATCGAATGCATAATTCATCTCGTACACCAAAAATTCGTCATTACTTTGGAAGCCGTCGAACGTGTACGGCAAAACCACTGTTTTACGCGGGACACGCTGTGGTTGTCCATCAGCAAGTTTGACAACGATGTCACCTGGACCTTCTCGAACCGTAACTGTCGACGGGAGAAGGGACAAACATGATGCTCGAAAGAAGTTGTTGGATGCACCCGAATCCATAAAACGCTCGAAGTGGTCGTTTAACTCCAGCAACGATGAGACTGATAATTATCAGTCTCGAATCGTCGCGCATAGTGGTGGCATTGAAGTGGGTATGTATCACTTTAGGGCTAGGAGCCCGAGCTGCCACCTGAGTACTCGGGGCTCCATTACTGCCAGTAGGGCGCCCCGCACCTACTGGAACCGCTCGTTTTTTGGCGGGACCACTGACGACACAGTATCTCCACGTGAGACAGCTGTGTTCATGGACACCGGCGCTGGTGCTCGGCAGACGCCGCACGATGGCCAGTCTTGCCGCACCGATAACACTTCATCGTGTTTTGACTTCGAATGTCGCGGCCAAATTGCTTGCCGCGACCACGAGATGCATCGATAACGTCAATTTCCATAGGCTCTGGGCCAGACGTACGCGGGCGTTGCGACGCTGCCTGCAAATATGACGATGCGACCGTGTAATCTTCACGAAGCGCGAGGGTAAATGCCTCCTCAAGAGTCTTAGGTTCAGCACGTGTGAGGCAATAGCGGGTCATGCCCTCTTGCATACCAAAGACAAAGACATGAACTTGCGAAGCCATGTCGATCGGCCGCGTGATGATACACGAAGCAAGATGTCGCGTCTTCTGTACGTAATCACGCATCGACAGCTTGCCCTGTCGAAGTGAAAAGAAATCTGCGTGCAAGCGTGACTCATCTTGAGGGGGCTCGAACGCCAGTCGTAAGTCGCGCTGGATATCGTCCAGCGTGGGGAATGCCAACTCGTTTACAACGAGCTTCCCAAGAGCCCATTCTTTGGCTTTACCAACAAGCCGAGACAGTAGGAAATTAACCTTGTCCGTCGGAGCGTCAATCAACCTTGACGCTATGGCGATATCAATCTCCCTAAACCAGCGATTAAGGGGGAGACGATCTGGACCATCACCAGAGTATGTCGACGTCTCCATTTTAATTGCATCGTAATGGGAGGGGCGCGAGGGAGTATGTACTCGCCGGTTCGCTTCGGCGAGCTCGCGCACCATGTAGTCTTGAATGGCGGCACGGTGTTGTTCGGGCGTCGCTGTGCTCAGCAGCGACGTCACGAAGATTTCACCAGACACCACCGCGAGGCGGTGTAATGCCTGCCATTCTACCGTAGTGAGATGGGGAAAATATGCATGCTCCAGCGAAACTGCTGGAGCCATCGAAGATTCACTCATATCCATCTCGAACTTGGTCATGGGAAGGACTACGAAGTGCTACCAGGTGTAACGGGGTGAGAGCCCGTTACCGTCTTACACTAATAATTAAGCTGAGGAAGCGCTGTGATTTATAAGGTAAATTTAACTCTGTTTGTATTTTTGTGTTTTTATAATTCGCAGTAAGTGCGAATATGTTCCCTAGCTCATGGGAACCACTCAAATACAGAACTAATTATTATTGGCTAATTATTGGGTCTGGCACCCCAATAATAAACCAATAATAAATAGACGCGCAGTATCCGCTATCCGGATACTGCCTACACTTAATGTATGTAATTATGTAATAAAACTATGACTACTTAATATAATGGGTTGCCCCATTACACAAGATGTGGCCGAGCAGGGGCTCGCCACCGAGTGTGACGTGGATGGACAAGATTCCCCACGTGCGGACATGATGGTCGAACAGGGGTTCCTATCGTCGCCTACTGTGGTCGAACAGAGTTTCCCACATGAGCAAGACGTGGTCGAGCAGGGGCTCCCACACGAGTCTGTGGCGGTAGAGCAGGGGCTCCCGCATCATGCGTCGACGGACGAGTATGGACTACTCTCGTCACGCGATTTCAACGTCCTGGATGAGGACATCCAGCGTCTAGAGGGGGGTGCAGATTTAACACCTGACTGCGGTTCGCCAGCTTCGAGCATGGACTCGAAGCACGATGGGGACGCAAGCTACGAGAACTCAGCGTTGGAATGTGTCCACGCTATTGTGTACGTGGACGGGAGTCCACAAAGGCGCTAATACATTGAGGTCGCGAGTCCACCTCGCGACGCATCGTCGATTACGAGCCTTCCAGGACTCTCCTGGAAGCATTTTCTACGTGACCTCAAGGGAGGCACGGTGGAACAAGTATGTCTGGTCACCAACGAGGTGAACTATGAGCCGAATGAGGAGCGAAAGACGCGCCCTCGCAGCGCTGAGCAAAGGTCAGCGCGCGAAGAAAGATTAGCGTCGCAATCTTGGGAGGCTCTGCGCGAGTCTGGTAACCTTGTTTACGACATTGCACGAGAGTACGCCGATGTGTTCCCGGACAAGATTCCGGCCGAACTCCCTGCCGATCGTGGCGTGCGGCACGAGATTGATCTCGTGCCAGGATCGAAATATTGTGTGACACGCCAGTGGCCGTTGCCTCGAGACCAAGTCGAGGCTATTGATGCATTCTTCGTAGGTCGTCGCAAGGCCGGTCATGTGCGTGAGAGTGTCTCACCCCATTCGAGCCCAACCTTCTGCGTGAAGAAGGCTACGGGAGGCTGGCGTATAGTGCATGCGTTTAACAAGATCAACGATGCCACTATTCCTGCCCAAACGCCTATCCCCAGGAAAGACATGGTTCTAAACTCCATGTCAGGTAGCGTCATCTTCAGCGCCATCGATCTGACCGATGGCTTCTACCAGATATTGATGCGAAAGAGTGAAATACCACTCACTGCGGTGTCCACCCCGAGTGGTATGCTATGGGAGTGGCTGGTGATGCCACAAGGATTGAAGAACGCACCAGCCACTTTCAATCGCATGGTATCTCAAGTGTTGAGACCGCTTCGAGACTTTGCTCCTAGCTACATCGATGACATTTTTGTCCACAGTCGCGCTGATGGCAACCTTAGTGTTGTCCAAGTTCACCTTCAACACATGAAGCAGGTGTTTTAAATCATGCGAGATAACAAGTTATATGCAAACTTGAAGAAGTGTGTATTCTGTGCACCGAAGATTCCGGTGCTGGGCTGCTACGTGAGTAAATCGGGTGTTCGAGCCGATCCAGAGAAGGTGTCGTCAATCTGTTCTTGGCCCACACCCAAGAACCCTACGGAGTTACGTCAATGGCTCGGTCTAGCTAATTACTTGCATAAGTACACAAAGGATTACGCCGGTTCTATACAGCCCCTGTCGTCACTTCTGAAGAAAGACGCCACGTGGTCGTGGCGTCCCGAACATCAAGCAGCCTTTGACGCAGTGAAGAAGAGCCTGGCGTTGGCGCCAGTGTTGATACTCCCTGACGACACCCAGCCGTTTCACGTGGTGTGTGATGCAAGTGACTTTGCAATTGATTGCGCCATCATGCAGTTCGATCATGAGGGCCGTGAACGAGACGTGAGCTACCAGTCACGACAGATGAAACCGGCAGAGAAGAACTATCCGGTTCACGATAAGGAACTGCTAGCGATGCGCTATGCACTCATCAAGTTTCGTGTCCACCTACTGGGCGAACGCATGTTCGCCCTGTATACTGATCATGCATCGCTGCGAACAGCAATGAAGAGCCCACACCTGTCACAGCGGATGGCACGGTGGCTCTCTTTCTTTGACGGGTACAACTTCGTCGTGCACTACAAGCCAGGCAAGACCAAAAAAAAACATTCTTGCTGACGCACTGTCACGACGCCCAGATTACGATCCTCGTATGGCACTGAGTCGTCGGGCAACTGACGACGAAGATGAAGACGATCGATGTGCGACGTGTGTGTCGTTGAATCTAACTCGGGTCACACCCGAGTTATGCCTTTTCGATGAAATTGTCGCGGCTTACACGAACGAACCGGATTACGCGGACATTATCGCCTATCTGCGCGCTCCCAGTGAGGCTGCACTGGGAGCTCTTTCGCGAACGAAGCGTGACCACATTCAACGATACAGTATGGACGATGATTTGCTGTTATATAGCATCGACAAATTCGATGCACCTCGAACGGTGATTGCGAATGACTTGGATTTGCGTGCTCGTATCATCCACGAGTACCATAATGCCCCAATTGGCGGTCATCTGGGCCGCGAAAAGACATTCGCGGCTGTCTCGCGTGACTTCTTCTGGCCCCACATGTACAAATGGGTTCGCAACTGGGTTCGCACCTGCGAAATATGTCAGCGCGTGAAGCCATCTCCATCGTCGCAGGCACCCCTTCGACCCCTGCCAATTGCAGCTGAGGCTTGGAGCTCAGTCTCAATGGATTTTATCTTAGGGCTTGCACCAGATGGTCAAGACCGAACGAGTATTCTGGTCTTTGTCGACAGATTCAGCAAGATGACACATCTGGTGCCTGTTCATGCAACGATCACCGCGGCTGAGACCGCGGTGCACTTCATTGACACTGTGTTTCGCCATCACGGTCTACCAGACAACATTGTCTCGGACCGTGATCCTCGTTTTACATCTGCTTTTTGGACGTCATTGTTCGAGTTGCTTAGCACAAAGCTGCAAATGTCGACAGCAGCCCATCCGGAAACGGATGGGCAAACAGAGCGAGGTAATCGGGTCCTCGAAGATGTTCTTCGAAGTTACGCAACGTCCTTCAAGTTGGAGTGCGTTTTTGCCACTCGCGGAGTTTGCACTAAACAGCGCGGTTCACGCGTCAACGGGGTTGACGCCATTTTTTGCAAATTCGGCCCGTCATCCTCGTGTACCTACTCTTCTTGCCGTGGGTCAGCCCACGGCTCTTCGTGGCTCCACTCTGGCGGCGGGTGATAATGATAAACAACGATCGAGTGAAGCTCACGGTATTCTGAGCGCGAATGTTGTCAACTATTCCAAGGCGAAGTCTTCTGTTTCGACGCCACGTGACGTGGCGTCCCCGCTCGCTCAATGGACTGCACAGACGCTGATCGATCCTTCTTCGAGTATGCGAAACCATAAAGCTAACTACGCGCCGATTGAATCGGCGCGACCAATCTTTGACATGGCTGTGTCAGAGTATATACTCCAACGTCAAGCCATCACGAGGTTTGTACGCGATACTCTTCGATCTGCAGTGGATAAACAGAAAGCGAATGCAGACAAACGTGGAAGAAAGAACACCAGTACATTCAATAAGGGTGATCGTGTATTGTTAACTACCGAAGGCCTACGAGATTCAGCAGTAACCAATCTAGGCGCGAGAAAACTCGCGCCACGTTTCATCGGACCATTCACGGTACTCAAGGCGATCGGCGATGCATACACGCTGGCCATCCCTTCGTCACTGCGACTTCGCCCGACGTTTTACGTCGGGCGGCTCAAGGAGTACCGTCCAGCTACGCTTCACGGGTTGGCTCCGTCCTCGGAGTCAAAGGATCATAGGTCGACCTTCCCTCTCGCCTTGCTCGACGCCCCAGTGACATCGGACGCAGCTGCGTCCCAGTCTGCGCGTGCCCAAGAACCTGGCGTTCCAGGTTCCGCATCCGTTCAAGCAGCTCGCGGTTCGACTGTCGAATCTCGTTCGCTGCTCTCTCAGCCCGCGCAGCTAGGTCAAGGGCAGCTTCAGCCTCCAGCTGGGCATCAACAGCCTTGTTCACAGCCGCATCTACATCGTCCTGGGCAACCAGGACGCCAGCAGTACCATCGTGAGGGTCCACCACCGCTTGTGGACGCGGAAGGCCAGAAGCGCTAAATTGTGGAGCGTTTACAGGGTCACGAGGACCCTCGTCGCGAAACGACATCGTCGCGACACCATGAGCGCGCGGTTCCAACCGCGCGCAAGTATCGTGTACGTTGGCTCGGGTTTTCACCCGAGCAGGATACGTGGGAACCGCGCTCTTCGCTTCTTCGAGACGTTCCGGACGTCGTTCGGGCTTACGAGTCCCTGTACACGCTTGGTGCAGACTTGGTCGACGACCTGTGTGTTCTCGCGGTGAGCGAGAACGAGATGCACGACGACGGTGTCGTGGTGAAGTGTCACCACGACTACGAGACCGAGAGCGATTGCGAGAACGTCGTGGTGACGTTTCACCACGACGACGAGATGAAGAGCGACGACGAGAACGTCGCGACGAGCGTGTATCGCGACGATCACGCGAACGAGAACGTCGTGGCGAGTGCATGGCACCACGACCTCGACAACGCGAGTGGTTTCGCCAGCGTGACGCGCCACGATTAGCCGCAGTCTTGCGCTCCATCAAGCTGCGCTTGTATCGTCCGATCCAGAGCTGTTCATACTCGCTGAGTGGATACTCAGCGACGTGTCGTTGCCAAGCTTCGCAAGTTGGACGAGGCATCGAGTCACAGGAATAACAAGATTCGTGCACGTGAACGTAGCAGAGTCGATCTACGTTCCATGCGTTTTTACAGATCTCCTCGCGCAGTACACCGATGGAATGATCGGCGTGAATATCTTCACGATTGGCCAGCCACTGCTGAAAGTTTCTTCCATCTTCAAGCATCCAGTTCCACCGCCGGTCGAACGCACACCATGACCGCTAGAGCGACTCGTACGAGATGCCATCAAGACTCTTTCCACGCAACCCACGGAAACGCCGGAAGTAGTCCTGCATCGTTTCGAGAGAGTCCGGATCTCGAGCTCCGGACAAGTCATACAGCGCCCAAGGGATCAGGTGCCGATCCATCACGTGGTCGACTAAACTCCCGCTGATTGTGCGCGGGAGTGCTGTGGTGTTGGCGTCTGCGTCTTCAGTCATCGTTTGGCTTGTGCGTCGTTTGGTCTTGTGGTTGAGCACTCACGGTTCGTGAGTGCTGTCTTGAGAAGGGGGTGATGTAATGGGATACCCCGTTACATAAGTAGGCTCGATTAAGTTTACATGTTACTTAAGTAGGGGTGTTACTTTCGGAGTAGCGAAAGTAGCACGTCGTATATTTTTGCTGGTTTAATGGGCTCAGTACCATTATTAGCCAGTAAGATATAGGCACGTAGATTGAGTGGTTCCCATGAGTCCAAGAGAACCATTCGTACTTAGAATGATTTAAAAGACAAAAATATAAACAGAGTTAAAAATACTTAATACCTAAGACTTGGGCTTCAAGCTTCCTCAAAGCGTTAGAAATAGTGTACGCTAAGTACGGGTCATTCTAGCCCCGTTACAAGAGAGTTCTCAGTAGTTCATCTATGGACGAGAGTGTCCTAGATGAAAAGACACAAGTTGAGCAATACGACTCCCAATCGTGGGAATCGCTCAAGAAAAATTCTCTCTATGAAGATTTGGTTGAATTCAAGGATGTATTCCCTGAAACTGTTCCGTGCGAACTACCGAAGAATAAAGGTATTCGACACGAGGTCGAGCTTAAACCAGGCTCGAAGTACTGTGTCATGAAGCAGTGGCCACTGCCTCGTGCACAAGTACTTGAGATCGACAAGTTCTTTGCCGATCGTTTGGCTGCGGGCAATGTGAGGGAATCAACTTCCCCACATAGCTCTCCGACCTTCTGTGTGCGAAAAGCAACAGGAGGGTGGCGGATAGTGCATGCATTTAACAAGTTGAATGCTGCAACGGTACCGGCTCAGACGCCGATACCGAGGAAGGACGTAATAATTGATGGTATGTCAAAGAGTACCATCTTTTTGTCCATGGATTTGATGGATGGCTTCCATCAAATCCTTATGCGAGAACGGGATATACCCTATACCGCAGTTAGCACGCCTAGCGGTATGCTCTGAGAATGGCTAGTAATGCCACAAGGGCTCAGTAATGCCCCTGCCACATTCAACAGATGTGTATCACATCTGTTGAGACCAGTACGAGAATTCGCGCCGAGTTATTTCGATGACGTTTTCATCCATAGTCGAGCTATGGATGGAAAGTCGGACGTTGAGGTTCACAGGTACCACGTCCGACAGGTTCTTACAATCATGCGAAAGCATCAATTGTATGCAAACCTCAAGAAGTGTATATTTGCAGTAAGCGAAATACCACTTCTTTAGTGCATCGTTGGCAAGAACGGTGTACGTCCTGATCCCGAAAAGATCAAGGCGATCACCGACTGGCCTGTGCCGGTTGATGTCAAAGGTCTTCGAAAATTCCTTGGGCTAGCGGCGAATTTGCATAACTACTCACGCAATTACGCCGAGATGACTGTACACCTCTCTCGTTTGTTGAAAAAGAACGAGAGGTGGTTATGGAACGCTGAATGTCAGCGCTCCTTTGATGTTATCATGCAAAGCTTGATACAATCCCCAGTCCTAGCAATTGCCGATCAGGACAGGCCATTTCATGTGGTCTGTGATGCCAGCGATTTCGCAATCGGCTGGGCATTAATGCAGTACGATCTTGAAGGCGTTGAACGCGTCGTCTGCTATCAGTCGCGTCAGCTGCAACCAGCTGAGCGGAACTATCCAGTGCATGACAAGGAACTCCTTGCCATGAAGTATTCACTCGCGGAGTTCAGAGTCTATAAATTAGGAGATAGACCCTTCATTGTTTACACTGACCATGCGTCATTACGCACGGCAGTGAACAGCCCGCACCTTTCACAACGAATGGCGCGGTGGTTGTCATTCTTTGCAGAATACAACTTTACGGTCGAGTACAAACCAGGACGACTTAATGTCGTCGCTGATGCACTCTCACGTCGTCCCGACTTTGAAACAGTCGCGAAACCCAACAGTGAGACAGTCACTGTTGCGGTTATGACGTCCTCAGTCCCATCTACAACGTTGTATGATGATGTGAGGCGGGTATACGCCCAAGATGGTGAGATAGTGAAGTTGTTGGTACACCTCTCACAGCCATCTCGAGAATCGTTGAAACTATTGTCGTCTGCGCATCAATCTGAATCAGATCGATACACTACTCGCAACGGTTTACTGTATTATACAGCCGTTTCTGGTGACACACCACGTGTTGTCATTCCAGATGATACTGATCTGCGTTTGCGGATCATGTTCGAGTATCACGATGCTCCTATAGGAGGACATCGTGGCCGGGAGAAAACATATCTCACGGTGAGTCGAGACTTTTACTGGCCCCGCCAGTATCAGTTTGTGCGAAAGTATGTTCGCGCATGCGAAGTCTGTCAACGAGTGAAGTCAAATCCTTCACTGCGTGCACCTTTACAGCCTCTACCGGTTCCGGCTGAGTGCTGGGAATCCATCTCAATGGATTTTGTCTTCGGGTTACCCAAAGACGCACGCGGGAATACGGGTATTCTCGTTTTTGTTGACAGATTCAGCACAATGGTACACCTTGTGGCTGTACCCGAGTCAATCACAGCAAGTGGCTGTGCTTGTGTCTTTATCGACACCATCTTCCGACTTCATGGGTTGCCCCGTGAACTCGTATCAGACAGAGATCCACGATTCACTGCTGATTTCTGGCGTTCCGTGTTCAAATCACTCGGAACGCGCTTGAAGATGTCTACATCTGACCATCCAGAGTCAGATGGTCAGACGGAACGTGCCAATCGTGTCCTCGAAAAGATACTTCAAGGATACGTACACTCCTTTAATAGTTGGAGTGAGTTCTTGCCAATGGTAGAGTTTGCCATTAACAACTCGGTGCATGCGTCCACGACCCATACACCGTTTTACGTGAATGGCTTGCGCCATCCGCGTGTACCCACCTTACTAGAGTGTAACTCTGGCTTTAGGGAGAAGGGGACTCGCGCGAGCAAAAACCGATTTGGTTCACGCTCATCAAGCTCTGACGAAGAGGTCACGCGTTTGATGCCGATATCGATAACATCGAAATTGAAGAAGATGATGTCAGTGAGAGTGCGGAAGCCCTCACTGAAGAAAAGGTTGATGTTGCTGCAGTGCACTCACAGCGCACTGAAGCTAACGAGTCATCAGATGAGTTCATACTGGCTCGTTAAACGGTAGTCCGTTTTGTGCAAGACTCCATCGCCGAAGCAGTGGATAAGCAAAAGCAAAACACAGACAAGAATGGAAGGGCAAACACTCTTTTATTTAATAAAGGTGACTTAGTCCCTACTGTCTACGATTAATCTTCCAAAGCATGTAGTGACTAACTTGGGTAGCAGTAAACTACTACCCAAGTACATCGGCCCATTTCGTGCATTGCATCGCCTAGGCAACGCATACACGATCGAACTGCCACGTAAGATGCGAACGAATCCCACATTTTACGTTAATCGGCTTAAGCCGCGCCATTAGTACGCTGTTTCTTCCGATGAAGAACGCCCTTGCGCTCAAGCATCTCATAGAGGGCCTTGTGCTCCCGATGGTGGCCATCGACAAGGGTCTGAAGAGCAGTTATCTCAGCCCGAGACCGATCAATATCCCCACGAGCTACCCTTAGCTCGTCACGCAGAGATGTCAAAGCTCTCTCGCTCTCAAGCTGAGCAAAGGTAAACTCAGCTCGATGCTTCAAGACAGTGTCCGCCAGTTGAAGACGCCTGTCCCGCTCATGTTCGAGATCGTCGCGTAACCCTTGCGTTACGCGATCAAAGAAGCTCTCGGGAACACACCGATCCACATGATCGTGTGGAGAGCGTCTTTCCTCCTCCTCCACCTCCATTAGAGGACTCTCGCGGTGGCCAGCGCTGTCTAGTTGAGCAGCTGTTGAACCACCGCGACGTGAACGGACGTCGGACAAGTTATCTCGTCCGGTGGTGCGGCTATCCCCCGTCCTGGGATTCTTGGGAGCCCCGCTCCCAACTGATGATCGACGTACTGGGTCTGGTTGAGCAGTACGACGCGGCACATCCTGTGCTGCAGAAGGACCGCCGGAGAAAGTCTTCCCGGCACGGTCGTAAAGGGATTTCAGGTTGTCAATCCCTTCGTACATCTCAGTAGAGATACGTACGCGCCACCACGGGCTATTAGGGAGGTAAGCCTCCTTAGGGCTCGTGCAGAGTTGTTCACACAACATGGGCACGAGTCTCCCCAAGAGAGGCAGGGTAATCCTTTCTCCCTTGACAGACGATGCAGCTTGTAGCGTGCACCTGTCGGGGTTCGCTTTTCAAACTTAACACGAGCTTTGATAAGTTTGTCGTTCCAAGCGTCACGACCTACATCCTCAAGGTTATGGATGTAGGCGTTCCACGCTTGAAGTAGTGAGGGACCATCACGCTTGTGATCCCCACTGTACCATCGATGTCTGAAGAAAGCATCGATGAAGAATTCATTCTCAGCGCGATAGTTTTTCGCACTGGGGTCAAGGTGATGGATCCTTGACGAATCGAACAATCGTGTTCGATAAAGATCACTCGTCGTCGCCGACAAGTGATCCATGACGGATTTAGGAGGCATCCATGCCTTCTTCTCAGGAGCGAGACGCTAGACATTGCGGTCCCGCTCTTCCTGCGACGTTGCCGACAGAAGGACTGGCACCTCGTTGCGAAGTGGTGTCCATAGGAGAACCGACACCACTGTTAGCGCCCGAGTCTCGCGACCTCGAGCGCCTTCGCTTCGGCGATGGTTCATCTGGTTCATCAGATGAACCAAAGATGCTACGACGCATAGCATCGTCCATGCCACGCTTGGCAGGCGGCTTGGATTCGATCGCCGTCGATACGGATCCGTCTTCCGTATCAGGAGAGTACGAGACACCGAGCTCGTACTCTGTGAAGACATGAGTGTCTTCATGACCAGCGCCTGCGTCACCAAGTGACACAGGCTGGGTCGCTTCAGCAACCGATGAGACATCAGTTTCTGTGGTTTCTGCTTCGGTGTCCGCACAGAGACGTGCGGACGCGCTCTCGGCGGCCTTGCTCGCGCATCGCATGGGCTTGTTTACCATGCGATGAGATGTTGGAAAGTGGACGCGGACCAACAAGTGCAAACCCCGTCCCAAATGATTTGAGACGAGTATCCATTTAGTCAATCAGTCACTAAAGTGATTGACGGTTAAGGGGGGGTGATGTAACGGGGTGAACCGTTACATAACAATTTACAAGAAATTGGTAATAGAATATAACTTTAAGAGTTATATTCCCAGAATATTGTCATAAGGACAAATGTTCTGTGGCACTTACGAGTAGTTCCTAATTGGTTGATATAGGCCATTATATCAACCAACGAAGACGCGCCACGACAGACGCACGCAATGAGTGGTGAGCAGATAACTGATTTACACATTTGTATTTAGACATAGTTAGATGAAGATAAATAGTGATTTATTGCAGACATTAACTATTATAAATACAGTTCTACTTTTTACTTTAACCAAGTACTCGCTTCTCCTTACCGTCTTCCTCTGCACGTACCAGTGTACGTGAAGTTCCGAGGCACCGCCTTATTCTGTCATCAGAATAAGTAGCTTGTACTGTCACCAGTACAAGCTTCAGGGTGCCCCGTTACAATACCGATAAGAATCTGAAGTTTTTTTCCGCGTCGGTGGAAAACTAACAGAGATCTGTACCTAAATAAGAAGTTAAATCAGCTGTGATTGAGCTGGATATTCTAAACTTCTGAATACTACTAGGAATTAAATCGATTCTGACCTTCTATGTCTTGAGACCCCTGATCGCATCCACCGCAAATATCTTCTCTAAATCATGCTGCAAATACGGCCTAAGTCATTTTTATTTTTGTACAACTTCATCCAGCGAGCAATTGAATTTAGAATTCCAGGCTATGCTGCATCCATTGCTTTTTCATTTGCTCAACTACTCTCACCGCAAATCACAATGCTCCGCAGCTTGTTTCCTTGCTGAAAGCGTAGCGACTTGTTACTAAGGAACTTGATGTTGCCCTCGGATGGGCTGCGATGTTGAAACCATTTAAGCCTTGATCTTGAAGGTTTCGTGAAAGATAAACGTGCCTTGATCAGCATTGAAGCACCCAAGCGGACAAGTCTTCCTTTAGATTCGGATTATGGCCGACTGATGGCGTTATATTGATCTGAACTCCAAAGTTTATGGATCCCAATTTGCCAGAGAAAATTTGACTCATTTTTAAATTCTTAGCCTTGTGCTGGAAAAATCTTGAGTCTATGTGTATTCATGACAGTAAGTGAATATCAAAACTCCGGTAAACCGAGATCACAATCAGATTTTTAGAGCCCCCCCAAACCACATTTATAAACGAATGCGAGGTGATACTTGTGCGATATCGTGCCACCATAACTAGTCGATAAACCTTCCAAGTAAAGAGAGAAAGAGAGATTCTTGACTACCTATTACCCATTATAATCATGTGTTAGAAGTCTAAAATTGTACAATTCAGGAATAAAGCACCGGACGCGGCGTTGGTTCGTGACACCTTGCTAGAGGTAGTGATTCGTCACTGCACTCTAGAGTCAAAAGTCTAAGAAAAACATGCGACTGGTCCCCTCGAACTACTATTTCTACGCCTATATGTTCTCGCATAGCCAATGCGATTAAAGGAAGGATATTTGTAGTCCACAAACGTACCACAATGACAGAAGTCGTAGACTGCTACGAAAACGGCATCGTTTTGTAACTCGGCGAATTTGTAGAACCCATTAGCCTATGAGTTATCCGAAGAAAAATGACTGTAGTTAACGAAAACCTGGTGGGCGGTGAACGGCTTCTTAAAGTAATGACAAGTGCTTTAAAATACCACGCGTTTCCATACGACCGTCAAGACGTCTTTACACCTAACAAAAAAACTTTTCCGCTGCATTTCCAACTCATTCGACTTCTTACGAATGAATACGAAGTCGGGGATGGGGCGATGATATAGCATTTTATCGCGCAGGGGAACTCATAAAACGTAATCCCAATTATGAAAGTTCACCTCTCAAAAAGTAGTTTACGGCTGGCAGAAAGAAGAAAACATTCTTGACGACTTTCTTTCGTATTACATACCAGTGAGGTAGTCCATGCTCGATATGAATGACACAGGTGGCCTACACAGAATCAATACATGACGCTGTTTTGTGACTGTCTCGCGATTGAATCATTACGTAGTATAGCGTGAGTGTTACCGCCTGTCCGAAAGGTTGTTGAATATCTCGAACTTTTGTTTTTCTCAAAAACTCTTGGTTGTTCAACCATGTTGCGTAATTATACCGAAAGTTTGGAGTTGTGTGACGCACCGAAGTCAGACCCGTTGCTAAATGTCGTATCGATGAGTATCGGGAGTAACTGCCACCCAAAGAGAGGATTGCAGTTTGACGAACATTAGACTGTCGCATGCAAGGTTGATCTTCAAGATGATGTTATCGAAGCCTAGCGATTCCAGACAATTAGTGTTGGACATTTCGACATACGTTGTGAAAAAGCGGGCAGCCGCCAGCTTATGTCACATTTTACACGAAGACTAGCCGTTTACGACACCCTATGGCAAAAGACTTCTGCTGCTGGCGCGAAGAGCATTAGTAAGTCCGGCTCGGGCTTCACCAGATTCCTGACGAGCTCGCTCAATCTCTTCTTGCTGCAGACGACGAGCTTGTATCTCGGCCATGCGTAGTTGTTCACGATCGTCAGCTAAAACAAGCTCACGTACTGTGTAATCGTCGATGCGGCCTACCTTCTCCACAGGCACACGGTGCTTAAGCTTGGGTAGCAGCCACAACAGCACGTTCGGGTCACTATAGGATTCGTAAAGACGTGGATCGGACACGACCTTGACGTTCGAGTACGGATCCAGCATGAAAATGAGACTGGGGTCCATACCTACCTCCTCGTACGCCACGATATCAGTTGGCCGGTTGCCGAAGCCTGCAACGAACACTGGGTGCTCAACTACTCGACCAGCGTGAATCAGCGTGAGCTGCAGCTCGTTCAGTACTTGGATTTTAAAAAGGTGCGGTGTTCTGTTCACCACTTCTGTGAACAGCGCACCCGTGAGGCCTGTTGAATTCGTAATGAGAACTCCTGGCGGCAATGATATTGACTGTTGTAGCGCATTTTCCAAGTGTACACGCGACGCTGAAGCCCAGTCGAGTGGGCGTGCAGTGAGATACACGATTCGCATCCCCAGTTCGTGCAACTTCGTAAAGAAATCGCAAGCTCCCGCATGCAGAAAATCGTACTGGCCGAGTCGTAATGTACGGATATGTCCTTCCACGTCACTTATAGTCAGCGTGCCGTCCAAGTCGACTACAACGACCGATTCATTCGGTCCCCACAGATGCAGCTTGGCGTCCACATACCGGACTGTGTTCGTGTACTTGTGAAAGTGCTCGAACCGCACATGATTTGGCTGCCCTTCCGACAGATCGACAAAGAGCAGGTCTTCGGGTGGAATTATCAAGCCTCCCGTGATAAACGTACATCTCCCACGGTCCAGCAGCTCCATTTTGGTCGGCAACTCTTTCCCATTGACCAAAATCCGGACCATATCACCCACACCTGCCGCAAAACTCGTTCGAAAGCGTGACCACGAGAAAGACACGTGCCACGACGTTGTCAGGTATTTTCCCTCTGTGTTCTTCACTGCGACAATATCCACTGCATTACCCGCCATCTTGTACGTCATTGTTGAGGCTTGTTGATCAACAGCTGACGATGCCACCTGCAATGCATTACCGTTAGAACCGAGAAGTTCTTCTGGTAAGTTGTTGCTGCTATTAGTAGCAGTACTAGTAGCAGTACTCTGACCACAACTACTACCGCTATTGCTACTGTCACTGCAGTTCTCTAGTGCTTGATCAGGTTTGTCCGTTAGTACTGGAAACAGGTCGTTATTGGCAGTAAACGATGACTCTATTGATGACATGGGTACTTCACCCGCACCCCCTTCTTCTACCGGAGCCGTATCGGTCATGGGCTCAGCTTCTTCTCCCTCGACTGAAGCGACCTCAAAAACGCTGGGGCCACAGCCGAAAAGGTCGTAATTTTCATGATCACCAAGTACATTTGAAGACGGTTTGGAGAAATCAACAGCCTCTTGGTCACAACTGTCGGTCGTTGCTGCCGCTTCCGTGGGCGGAGACGTGGCGGCTGCTACGCGTGCAGTCGAGTTCATAATTTGATTACTTGGCTTCGTGTGTGCGTGTTGGTGTGGCCTACGTAAGTTTATAGCTGGCTTGAGCAAAAACGAGGATATTGTGCAAATGATCGAGCCAGCGAACACTTGCAGCACTAAATTTGTTCACCTCAAGCTGGAGATGTGAGATCAACCGAAGTGACGATTGTGCGTCCACGACATGTCGGTAGCGAAAACGAGCAAGAGAGAGGAGACACTTTTTTTGCAAAGAGCTGTTGACTTGATCGGTCGCGTGGTGAGTCGTGGCAGTAGAAGATGGATCGACTTTCGCAGCCGCTACAATAGTGGCGAACGCTGCAGTCTCTGCCGCAAAATAAGAGATACTGGGTTTATTGCTTCGCACGCGATAGTGACAAGTATTAAATAATGATTTCGATGCATGAACGATGTTTGCGATGCAGCTTTTGACGTACCGCTTTTCTATGCGAGAGAGTGGTTAAAAGGTTTTGACCGAAGGCTCGGGTGCGTGACTGTCACGAGCAGCAACCTGTAGTACTCTACCAAGGAGACACGACTCGTCATAATTGTTGCGGATGATTCATCTTGGTCTGGTCGATTGATCGAGAAAATGCACTGGAAATCATCTTGGCAAACTTCGTTCAGGACTGATGATGCTTTTTTTAGGTATCACAAGTTTCCGGATAAAAGAGCCGTCATTCTTTTCCGGAGGACTGACCGTAACTACGAGCCAATCTCCATCAGCAAGCACACTCATTTACTTTATTGTCATCTGCCAAACAATTGGTATTGCAGTTTATCTATCTGCACAATTTATGGGATAATGTCGAGAACGGATTAGTGTATAAATGCATACTAGTGGAGTAGTGCACACTCCGGTATCGCAACGACACCGTTTTGAGATCAGAAACATTACAGTCTCGCACATTGGACACAACTGAAGAGGTATCAATAGCAATGTGCAATAAAATAGGTTCTTTTTCGCTTGAGTTTCTTTTGCCGTGACTTCTAATTCTTCCTTACTTTGTTCTTGCGTGAATGAAGCAGGATCGAAGTTAGGGCTCAGCTTTTTATCACACTGCAGAAAAAAGTCAAAGAGCTGTAACTGGCTGTCGATGCTTACTAAAGTAATTTCCAGCAAACACTCATGACACAAATGCGGCAACTTGACGAGCTGCCGAGCTCGATGACCTGTATTAATTGAGCCTTTACCATACACAATTTGGTGTTTATCTTAGCGCGGCGGTCGATCTGCCATTTTCAATCGCCGAATCACCCGGAAAAAGAGAAAAGGACGCAACCATGGCAACCATCGAACAGTCGAATGCTAGGCAGACCCTATCGATGTACATATAAAAGTCAAGCTTGAGTTCTACGACATGCGTGGGTGCCTCAGAAGACAGGCGCCAAACATCAGATACGTTCGCAGATTGTCATAGATAACAGAGCAGGATGCTGCATGGTGCTTCAGTTGGTCATAAATTGATCTGTGTTCGCTTGTGTGGTCAAACAAGTACCTTGCAGCGTAGCAATCGATTGCATGTTACGGTAGATAAAAAAACAATGAGTAAAGTTGGTGCATGATCCTTACACGATGAAGTACACGATACGACCATGCACGGCAATGGCGATCTAAGTTCGAGCGCGTGTTGCTTGGCGCGCTTGCTTGTGTATGCAACATGGATTACATTATTCGGCAGCTCGCAAATATTCGACGCAGGAATCGTAGGTTTCTAACAAAAAGCTTACGGATTTAGATAGTCGTGGTCTTGGTCTAATGAGTGGGCAAGACAGTATCGTTACATGCGGCTCATGACGCTAGCGTTTAATACCTTGGCGATAACACACAGAGATCTTGATCGATCTAGCAATGTGATCACGCATTCGTTAGGTCTAGCATCTGATTACCATGCTCCTCTCTAACCTACGAAGGTTTTTTCCTACGAGTACACCGTCGATTTACTCGAGTTGAAACGGTGGCTTTGACAAGTCCACCGCTCCGTCGAAGATGTCAGTATGTAGCGCTATTGTATCCGTGTTATTGATTACTCAGTAGGATACAATGACTAGAAGTCGTCAGTAGAAATGACATCTTGGCTATGCTCATCCACTCCAGAAAACGTGACGGAGGGTATGCTGATTCCAGCGTGACCAGTAACGCGGAGTAAATGTTTCTTTGTCGATTCTTCGAGTATTTTCAGTGGTTTCTCACGACTTCAAATTTCGGATAGCGAGGTATACGACAAGACATCGAGTATGGTGGTCAAGTGCATATTATACTTCAAGATGCTTATCGTGCACTAGGTTGTCGTGCCTCTCGAAGGTTGCCTGTACTCACGGCAGCACCAAGCTCGGTGTTAAGGATCATGGTGTCTTCATCACGCACAATCTCACAACCGCACTTTATCTGATTGTCGATTTTGCTTTGGAACTACTTTGTGACCATCAATAGGAGAGTACTCTCATGTCTAGACTCTTCGAGCAAACATTACAGAGATGTTGACATAGTTCCGGGTCGTGTGTTTTTTTAGTGATGAGCGGGAATGGCACGAGAATTTTTGGAATCAATTTCGATGATCGTTTCCATCGGAAGCGCTCGTTGAGCTTCTTGCGATGGTAAGATGACGTTTCCGTACGCGAAAATACACGTACAAAGCTGTCTTCGTAGTGCCGGCGTTGATCACTTGTCAACCTGGCTAAATTGCAGGAATACCGTGCTATCTCACTCATTCGCGACACAACCTCAGATGCATATGTCGATACAAGGAATGAATATAATGGGTGCCTGCAGTGTGCGTAAAATATCGATGGGGATCTTGGGATTGCGCTCATGTCAAACAATATAAGTTTGGCTGCTGTAAGTGGATACAAGTGCCGGTCGTCGTGGATTGAACATCTCACTGCACATCTCTAGCACGGCACCTGACACTTGATGGCGGTTAGACGAACAAGGATGTAGATACTGTAGGTAAGAACGTACGTGTGAAAATACGCATTACAAGCCAGTCCACGATGTTGGTAAGTGCGTTTATGCTATAACTGGCTACGGGTGGGCCAACTGATTGACGTGCTGCTTGAACACGCAAGTGTTGCGTACGAACACTGTGAACGCCTTGTACCCGGGTCAGGGTTGGAAACGTTCGACATATACGATGGCAGTGTACGCAGATCAACCGCTAGAAAAGAGCAACAAAGGATTCGCACTAAATTGCGCAACGGGAAGCGGAAGCAAATGAACCACAAAGTACAGCGATTATAGTATCAGTTCAGGTTCCAGATGTCGTCCTGTACCCTTAGCATGACCACCTGCACAAGAAAAAGGCATATCAGTCCAGTCATGATAAAAATTAGCACAAATACGATTTATCCTAGTGGTCATGGAAAGTGCGTAATGCTTGGAGAAGACTCGGTGCTTGCAAACGAATCATCGAGTCTTGAGTCTCGTTTTCTCACCCGCAAAAAAGAAGGCCGACATATACTGTAATAGAGCTACCTGATGCTCAGTAAATGGTCTGGTCTCAAAACAATCTCCTGCCATTTGTGCGGCCTGTTTGCGGACTCCCGCCCAGCTTCATCATTCAAACTCACAGAGCCCCAATCAGCACCAAAACAACAGTAACAAGGTATGAGGTCATGTCGTGTGTAAGCCTGCACACCATATGTGTTTTGCCGAACACATTCAGGTATCTTACCGATCGCTACATAAGATACCCTTCAGACTGCGCAAGAGCGAGCGCCGACCGCTTAGCGTCATTAAACAGATTTTTAGTCTCCTCAATGTCATCCACCGACACCTCGGAACGGCCTTGAGTCTCGGCAAGGATCCGTGAAGGCGTGAGAAGCTGAACACTGTACCGAAGCGATGTCTCCGAGCCGATCTCGCCCAGTCGCGAAATGGCGTCCTCCGTAAGCTTTATACTCTCAGCTTCAGCACGGATCTTGATGATCTGCACCATCTCTTCCACAGAGTAGGGCATCGTACGTATTATGAGCATACGGTCCAGCAGATCAAGCGGAACACCGTGAGGAGACGAAACGTCAGTACCACGGATCTGGCAAACACCACGATTCGTAGCAAAAACTACGATCGGGGCCAATGTCGACTCAAGCGCACGATTCAAGTACGTAAAACACTCAATATCCAGCATGTGAACCTAGAAAGAAGTATGCATCAGTCATCTTGAAAACCACAGTCCCACACCTAGTTTAGTACACTCCAGCACGCACCTCATCCACAAACAGTACACCCGGTACGAGTTCCGCTACACCTTGGTCAATGTACCTGTTAACGACTTTGTTGATTTCCGTCCGCAACTTCTCAGTAATCTCCGTCTTCTTGGGCTTCATCATTTGGCCCATCATGGACATGATATCTTGGCCACCCTGCGGACGCGCATTGGCGATATCCAGATCATGGAGCGTCACGTCCTGAATCAGCTCTTTCTTCTTATGGACGTCACCCTTAGGGATCGGCACATACTCTTCTGCTTCCAGATCGTACTCGGTGGCATAGGCATCTGAGCGACCAACACGCTTAACGCTTCCATTGTTAGCTTCAATATAAATGACGTCTCCCACAGCTACTTTCTCCTTCTGTAGTGATTCGTAAATACTTGGGTCGAGTCTCAGCTGCTTGGAGCCTTTCGTGGTCTTAAGACCCACAATCACGTGCGAGATGGTCTTTCCATACCCACCAAGCGGATTCTCCGTCTCTTCCGGTGTCATCTCGGTCACTTCTCCCTCGTAAACCTCTTTACTTTCCTTGATCCGAAGCCCGATTGCACGACGAAAGTTCTCCATCAACACCTCCGTCTTCTTCACTTCGGACGAGTAAACTTCCGATCCCACCATCGGACAAAACGGTACTTTGGGTCCCAATTCTTGCGAAATGCCTAGCGCGAGCGCCGTTTTCCCTGTGCCAGGAGCCCCAGCAAGCAGCAAAGCCCGCCCCGCCATCTTTTTGGACTTGATCAGCTCGACAGTGAGTCCTGCTGCTTCCCGCGCTTTCTCTTGACCTACAAGTCCCGAGCCAATGGGCAGGGCTGTACCATCTGCCTCTATCCCAAGACCTTTGACATGCGTGTGCGACGCAATGCGCTGCGCCTTGGCCGTCGACTGCACTTCCTCAATCTTCATGGCAGTACTAGTGCACGTGATCGGATGGTCGCGCGCGGTTGTGTGATTTTTAACCAATTATAACGACCGTATACTTTACAAGTTGCCCACGGGGGATAGGTAGCCGAATCTCTCACTTGTTTTTCACGGGATGCGTCCCGGCGTATATTTAGTCCAACGTTAGACGGCGATTTCTACATGCTCCCCGAATGTCGCACGAAGGTGCGTTAGTGGCACTTCGTGAGTTAAGTATCCCACGAGCGAGCTATGTTCCGTCGTGCGAAATTAGACAGCAATAGCGTACTTGACTTACTTTTGAGAGGGGTTGTCAAAAACCTTTTCGATTTCCGGTCTTGGCTGGTGCACGGAAGAAAATGTTGCGTCCGTTGTTCGGGGGCGCCCTGAGCTGCGATATCCCCGAGAGCTTCGCCGACGTGAGTTCGTTTCGCCAAGTACCCGACAATCAAGAGGTGTTTGCAAATGCCGCCACAGACCAAAGCGTAATTATTGAGCTCCTGCAATACGAGAAGAACGTCAGCGACACGGAGAGCGGTCGCTACTTTTTCAACGAACTCGCCCAATCGAATGGGTGCGGCCCCGATGAGGTGACGGTGCTGCTTCAAGAGACCGAAGAGGTGCAGCACATGTCAAACGTCTCGATTGACGCACCGCATACCACGCAGCTCATTGTGGGCGACCAGCACGTGGCCAAGTTCAAGGAGGACGATGCCGCCAAGAATGTCGTGCGTGTGTATCTAGGTAACGTCCGTCTGCCTGGCGTGACGACAGACGTGATCCTGACCGTTTCGACACCGATGCAGATAAGTTCATCTAGCAGTAGTCGCGACGCTTGTCATGTTGAGCATAGCTCAAGCGTTGCTGCTGCTATATTTAAGCAGGCGCTGCAGACTTTAGTAATTGTGGACTGGTCGCTATTTCAGTAACGAATGTCAGAGGGAGCGCTTCTTGAAGGGCAGAAGGGGACATTTTCTCTACCTCCTGTGTGGATCACCTCACCGTGAGGTGAGTAGATGATGATGGCTTGAAAGGTGTAACGGAAACGATAGTATTGAACCAGTGCATTCGTTGCTCGCCACTCCGTTCGGCGCACTTGTTATTCAGCTTGCAATTAACAAGGCCATACAGCAAGTGGTGTGGAAGGTACTTGTGAGATTTATGACCGGCGTTCATAGCAGAGCAAAGTGCAGGCACGGTATCCTCGACGACCTGGAGCCGCTTTGTTGTGTCACGAAAGAGCCTGTTGTATCGTTCTAGAGGTACTGTGGGACCAAGGTCACAGGAAGCACGGAATCATTGTTTGTACGCTAATAGTAGCCATCGTGAGGTCTGCCTGCAGGTTGGCGGTGTCACTTTTAATCCACAACCGTTAGGCCGAGCAAATGTCAGCCGGAGATGGTGGCGTCGGACGCAACTTTGAGCCTGACATAACATGGAATTTCTCGGAGAACAACCTTCGGCCCAAGCGCTGGCATTAGAGTGTAGGCCGGTTATTGTCGAGGTAGATGTTGTCACGCACAACTTCTGGTGTGGTCGTAGGTTCTGATGGAGACAGGCGCTACACGTGGTGAGCGCACCACTAGCATCGAGCAAGTGGTACGCTCATTTTTTGAATGATGTGGACATTTGTATAGTGTATGAATGACGATATCTTCGTAGTAGATATCGTCATTCATACACTATACAAATTCCGGCAGTGAAGGCTTATCACATGATCGACGCTACCGTTGTCTACTTCAGTTTTCGGCAACGTACTGCTGAACGTGCTACATGGTGGCGCCATCGGTTGGCCCTTACAGCTGATCTTTTGTCGAAGCCACACAGTCAATTGACCTTCGTTCTAGCTGATAGTGCAGTTCCTGATTCAAAGAGCGTGCGGTTATAGTTGGCACCGACAACATTCAAGGACCGACATAGCTTGATGTGACACATTCTTTTTTTTTGTTAGGTACATCACAGTCATTTAGCTATCAAGAACTAACGGCCCGAAAATGTCCGTCCAGCGCAGGCCTACACATCCCTTGCTGCTGTGTGAGCTATCTAAGCTAGATGCCCACAAATGCACTCCGCGAACGGGTGCCTCTTAGGTAGATCTGATCTCCAGCCCAGACTTGAAGGTTCCGTGCTCGCGTTGTCCAGCTAATGACTCAAATCGCCCTCAGTAAACGATGCTATTTCTGTAACTGTAACGGGGTGAATCGTTACATAACAATTTATAAGAAATTGTTAATAGAATATAACTATGAGAGTTATATTGTCAGAATATTGTCACAAGGACAAATATTCTGTAGCACTTACGAGTAGTTCCTAATTGGTTGATATAGGCCATTATATCAACCAACGAAGACGCGCCACGACAGACGCACGCAATGGGTGGTGAGCAGATAGTTGATTTACACATTTGTATTTAGACATAGTTAGATGAAGATAAACAGTGGTTGATTAACAGACATTAACTATTATAAATACAGTTCTACTTTTACTCTAACCAAGTACTCGCTTCTTCTTACCGTCTTCCTCTGCACGTACGAGTGTACGTGAAGTTACGAGGCACCGCCTTATTCTGTCATCAGAATAAGTAGCTTGTACTTTCACCAGTACAAGCTTCAGGGTGCCCCGTCACACCTGGTAGCACTTCGTAGTCCGTCCAAGGACCACGTTCACATCTAACATGAATATGTTGGATGATGAAGATGACCAAAGCTTTCACGCTACGCGTGACGGCTGCTCCCATTTGAGCCATGTCGAATGGGATGCGGTTGAACGAATGGGTTCAACCATGGGCATCCATGCTGTTAGCGTCATGCTAGAGGCTCTCAATAGAGATGCCCAACATGCTACTATCGCCAAGTTCATTCAAAATGAACTTGACGCTGAACGCGAGAAAGTAGCCTTGCTTCACCAACAAGGCTCTCAACAAGCAGAGTTGTTGAGAGAACAGGGTGCTCAACAGTTTGAGCTGTTGAGACAGCAGCAGGCTGCTGCTGGTGGGTCGATGCACTCGCGTCGACCCGAGACCTTGAAGATTGACATCTCCAAGTATAGGGGAGTCAAAGAGGACTCCCTCTTGAGATGGTTCGTCGAATTGGATGACGCCATAAGGGCGCGTCGCATCGACGACGGGGATATGCAAGTTGCATTTGCCCAGTCAAATCTGGCAGGACGTGCCAAGACTTGGGCACTGGGCTCAAGTTGCACGACCCATATGCGTTTGGGTCGTTGGAAGTCTTCACGTCGCGGCTCAGACAAACGTTTGCTCCGCCTAGAGCTAAGTTTAGAGCTCGAACTAACTCTAGAAGCTCAAGCAGGGTAAGCGTGATGGGCACGCTTACGCCCAACATATACGACATCTCACGAGTTGTATAAGTTCCAATCCGGTGGATGAACACACGTTGGTTTCGGTGTTCATGCAGGGTCTTGCGGATGGTCCCGTCAAGACTCACCTGTTCCGGCTTGAACTAGATTCACTAGAACAAGCCATTTCCATTGCGGAGCAGGAAGACTTCAGTCTGAGACAGGCTCGCGCCAGCTTGACATCATATCGTCAACCGAGACGATATGACAGCGGAGGTCCAGAGCCGATGGAACTCTGTTATGTAGAGAGCGAGAAGGCTCGCTCTACAGACTACCAGAAGTTGCAGAGATGCAACAGATGTCAAAAGACAGGACACTACGCTTGCGAGTGTAGTGCCCCTCGTCCAGTGTCTCGCAACACTGGGCGTAGTGCCCCTCGTCCAGTGTCTCGCAACACTGGGCGTAGTGACCGTCCACCCATGAGAAAGGGGCAGGGACGCGGGTCCGCGGTTGGTGCAAAGACGCAACAACGGGATGGACCGTCAAAAAACGGACAGGATCAGTAGGCGCGGACCACCCAACTGGTCCAGCAACGTCAAGAGAATTTTAGGCCTCTTGATGAAGGTTGTTCCCAACACACAAACGTTGTGCGTTGCTGCTCTAGGTAATGAGATCTTACGCATTACCTTGAAACTCGAAGTGACGAATAAGTTGTCCCTTCGAGCTCTAGTCGATTGTGGGGCATCCAACAATTTTGTGCAACGCCAATCGCTAGAAGATAGTCACTTTGAGTTCAGTGAATGTGAAACACCTCCTACGAGGATGACGGTACGTCTTGCGACAGGAAAATCCGTAACAGTCATAAAGCGTATAGTGAAGATCCACTATACACTAGAAGATACCCAATGTGACGATGACTTTATCGTATTGGATTTGGATGACAAATTTGATGTCATCCTTGGAATAACGTGGCTCAGAAGGTACGAATCACGGGTAAACTGGCAACATCGGACAGTAACGATGCCTGTCGCTTGTTCATCAGATGGCCATCTGATGAACGTTTTGGAGCGTCCACATACGTGTGGATGTACTACGAGTGAGTGCGATGGCCTCATTTGTGGTACGGTCGTTGGTACGACTGCACAAAAGCTTAGTGTAACAAACGGTTACACTTCGGAGCAAAGTTCCGGCGGCTGTGAGGAAACACAGGCTGCGCCGAAGGTCCACCACTCGAATAAGTCGAGTGGACCGGGACAAAGATGTATCCCTAGCGGGGAACATCTAGAAGAGAAACAATCGATCACTCAGGTTAAGCATAACGATAATCCTAGATCGACTGGAGAGTCTTTCGTAGAGGATCTCGCTGTGGTTGCGCAACCACAGCTAGAGGAAGTTAAGGGAATAAGTCCCGATATTACAAATACGGCGGAAATAAGTTCCCCGAAACCCGCGGGAATAAGTCCCCGGGAAGCCGAAGGAATAAGTCCTTCAAAGCCTGAGGGAATAAGTCCCCAGGAAATGACAGAGACATTGAATGTCATAGTCAATAACGGATCAAGTGTAGGCGCTTATACACTTGATCTGATTGCGCCTCCGAAGTTGACTTCGGAGATCACTCAGTTGCCAACGCTCGACCATAAAAGGTTCTTGTGTGATCTGCGTAGTGGTAAAGTCAAGCAGATCTGCGTAGTGGTAAAGTCAAGCAGATCTGCGTACTCGTCGCTGACGACGAGTGTGTAGCCGACATAAGGTCAGCAACAGTGTTTACTGAGAACGAGAGAGTTCTCAGTAGTTCATCTATGGACGAGATTGTCCTAGATGAAAAGACACGGGCAAGAGTTCTCAGTAGTTCATCTATGGACGAGATTGTCCTGGATGAAAAGACACGGGTATGACTCCCAATCGTGGAAATCGCTCAAGACAAATACTCTCTATGAAGATTTGGTTAAATTCAAGGATGTATTCCCTGAAACTTTTCCGTGCGAATTACCGAAGGAGAAAGGTATTCGACGCGAGGTCGAGCTTAAACCAGGCTCGAAGTACTGTTTCATGAAGCAGTGGCCACTGCCCCGTGAACAAGTACTTGCGATAGACAAGTTCTTTGCCGATCGTTTAGCTGCGGGCCATGTGAGGGAATCAACTTCCCCACATAGCTCTCCGACCTTCTGTGTGCGAAAAGCAACAGGAGGGTGGCGGATAGTGCATGCATTCAATAAGTTGAATGCTGCAACGGTACCGGCTCAGACGCCGATACCGAGGAAGGACGTAATCATTGATGGTATGTCAAAGAGTACCATATTTTCGTCCATGGATTTGATGGATGGCTTGAGACCAGTACGCGAATTCGCGCCGAGTTATTTCGATGACATATTTGTCCATAGTCGAGCTATGGATGGAAAGTCGGATGTTGAGGTTCACAGGTACCACGTCCGACAGGTTCTTACAATCATGCGAAAGCATCAATCGTATGCAAACCTCAAGAAGTGTATATTTGCAGTAAGCGAAATACCACTTCTTTAGTGCATCGTTGGCAAGAACGGTGTACGTCCTGATCCCGAAAAGATCAAGGCGATCACCGACTGGCCTGTGCCGGTTGATGTCAAAGGTCTTCGAAAATTCCTTGGGCTAGCGGCGTATTTGCATAAGTATTCACGCAATTACGCCGAGATGACTGTGCACCTCTCTCGTTTGTTGAAAAAGAACGAGAGGTGGTTATGGAACGCTGAATGTCAGCGCTCCTTTGATGGTATCAAGCAGAGCGTGATACAATCCCCAGTCCTAGCAATTGCCGATCAGGACAGGCCATTTCATGTGGTCTGTGATGCCAGCGATTTCGCAATCGGCTGTGCATTAATGCAGTACGACCTAGAAGGCGTTGAACGCGTCGTCTCCTATCAGTCGCGTCAGCTGCAACCAGCTGAGCGGAACTATCCAGTGCATGACAAGGAACTCCTTGCCATGAAGTACGCACTCGCGAAGTTCAGAGTCTATCTATTAGGAGATAGACCCTTCATTGTTTACACTGACCATGCGTCATTACGCACGGCAGTGAACAGCCCGCACCTTTCACAACGGATGGCGCGGTGGTTGTCATTCTTTGCATAATACAACTTTACGGTCGAGTACAAACCAGGACGGCTTAATGTCGTCGCTGATGCACTCTCACGTCGTCCCGACTTTGAAC